TGTATCACCGTAAGTGGTAAAAACTTGAGAGATAATATTATTAATCATCTGAAAAAATAAGTCTTTTGGGTGATTCATGAAATTTGGAGCTATCACTGGAGCGTAGAAAGGAGAATTTTAAAAGCCCTTGTAACGTTACTTGTAGTTGTCAGCTCAGCGAGGTTAGTATTATCTGAAGTTGGGGGTAGCGCGATCATTGCAGCTCAGGATAACAGGGGACGGGGGACCTGCAATTTTCGTGGTTGCCGGTGACATAGTTTGCCCTTTGTTCTTCCACGCAATTTTGGATAATATTTAAAGTTTTACCTTGTACCATCCTGTGCAGTTTATACGACTTGATGTCGCATTTTTTGTATTGAACAGTAGTATTTAGACTGGTGGTTGCAAAACATCTTGATTCGCGACCAAATTTGTTTTTAGAATGACCATAACATTTGACATTTGACTAAACCTATGATTTTCTTTTCTCTTCGACATGGATAATAGCATTGTACAGGAAGTTCAATTTCAATGATTTTTTGCTGTATCGCTGCTTTTGCTGCACGCATAGTTCAACGGTACATAGAATAACGTGAGAGTGAAATTAGTAGACTTAATTTTTTGTACCGGACAGTTTATGGCACAGAGGTAGTTTTTCTTAATTTGAATGGTTCTAAATAAAAATAGATTTTCTTGGTTCGAATAGCACTTTTAATAGCCATGGATTATCAAAGTAAACGGAATATTCGTTAGGTCTCTAAAATATTTTTTAAATTTGGATTCTAAGCGTTGTTCTTTGAAAAAATTTACGAGTTTTCTGACGTTCTCGGTAGCTGCTGTATGAACTCAAACAGTTAATCAGTTTTGTATTTTTATTGTGGGCATATTTATTCCCACTTTGGTAGTGCGTTCTTTCGGATTTGAATTTCATAAATGTTTCAAGTCAATTAGGAGTAGAGTGGGTTTATTCGCGAGTTTGCACAGAGCCACCGTAGCGAAAGGTGCCGACCGCTCGCTGTTCAAGCTCAAGCAGTGTTAGTGGGCGCTGCGTTCTCGACCAGCGAGGGCCGCCGCGCTAGGAAGCAGTTCAGTGTCAACCAGTGCTTATTATACATCCAAACGGACACTCCACTACAGCGGGAGACGGGCGTGTTCCACGGGGCTGCCGCCCCACGCGGCGGAAGTCTATTCTTCTCTATCGTGTGAGTACTGTGTTAACATTAACAGACTTCAGTTCTCCCATTATAAACAGAACTCAATTGCTTATTCTATAAATAAGAGAAATTGAAGTTATTAGAGCAGTAAAAATGGTAAAATCAAGGGCCTTCGGGGCAAATTATAACCGATGCACTCAATGTGGTAAACAATCCAAATAATCCCGGAACTTCAAACGTATACAATGTTCCTGAAATTCCTAATAATGAGCTTATTATGGCGTCTCAGACAAGGATCTATGCTTTAGAACAAGAAATTAAGTATCTCAAACAGCATACTGAAGATTTCTAGCAAAAACTTCACTTTCAACAGTTATTTATTAATCAAAGTCAAGCAGTTATAGTGAATACAAGTGAGTCGGCTAATTATTCTTCTACCAATACTTCATTAACACCTGAAACAGCCATTGATCACCATAGTCCCAAACGCGAACGATCTGATGATGATTCATCGTTTTCATATTCTGTCTCTATTGCTAATCAATTTCAAGTCTTCTCAAGACAAGACCCAATCTAATTAATATAAAACTTCCATTCTTCCAATTAATATATCAAAAACTGTTAAGATCTTACGTAATTTTGATGCATATATTTCAGAAATAAAACAAATCGCACAAACAGATTAAACTACCATGGTTTAAAAGTGATTATATCTCCATATTATTTGATTCAGTAGATGATTATCGACACTATAGAACCTTTTGCAATACAAGTTAGATATTTTTCTTATAGTGATCCAATGCAGCAAACATAATCAGCAATGTTATATAATATTCCTATTTTCTCCTTAAATGAAGAAATTAAAGCTGAATTATCTAAAACTTATACTAATACATCTGTATAAAGGCTATTTAAAAAAAATTGACAACCATTAGAAATCTATGCACTTGAACTCATTGACGGCAACCTCAATAGGGATATCATAAAATTGTATAAACTATTTAATAGTATTGTGAAAATTAAATTTCGTTTTAAATCTAGTTTTTCTATTCTGTGTAAAAATTGCCAAAACTTCATACACAAAAGTTAACTGTACATTCGAATCTCGCTGTGTGAGTTGTACTGAAAACCATCATTATTCGAAATGTAGAACACCAAGAAATTCTACCCCTCAATGTTGTAATTGTCATGAGAATCTAACTACCGAACATGTATTTTCTTTAAGAAACAAACTTTAATTTCTAATTCAAATATAGTGTCGGAATTTACCTTCGTCAACACCTTCGCAAAATCAAAATTATTCAGAAAATAGACCTTATTCCTCCTTTAAGTCCTCTATGACTCCTTCAATAACTTCTTCTACTTCTGTGATATGAATAATTTTCCTCATCTTCCTTCATTATCTAGACTCACCGCGCTATCTTAACAACACTGTTAGTTCTTTTCCCTCTAATAGTTCAGACTTCAATTCTTACATTCCTATCATAACAAATCAAATACTAAACTCTTTACTTCCCCAAATTCATCGATTAATTCAAGAAGTTATTCCATAAATGTTTAATAATGGATCTCACTAATATAATTTTTTTAAAATTGGAATGCAAATGGTCTTCTACGTCAACTAATTGAATATAAACAATGCTTATATAGTCAAAACATAGATATTGCTTGTATTACAGAAACATATAATTGATTCCAAAAAATGTAATATTCCAAATTATAAAATATATAGAGTAGATAGAACATCAATCTCAGCTGGAAGAGGCGTAGCAATGATTATACGTAGAAAAATCAAACAATTCACAAATATATTTTCCCAGCTCTTCTGATCTAGGAATAGTAGATCTCACTATTTTCTTTTCTGTCTGCCCGATAAATATAATAGCAGCGTACAAACCACCTAACAAAAAATATCTCTTGACTCTTGAATTACTATTAAACAACAATAGAAAAACACTTCCACCCTGTGATTTAAATGCTAAACATGAAGCTTGAGAATGTAATACTACTTCTCCACAAGGTCAATTCTTATACAATCTAACTACTAATTGGTCAATTCACTCTCCTTCCCAGCCAACTTATTATCCATATTATCCAACACTAAGATTCTTCCTGATATTCTTGATACAGTACTTTCGCAAAATATGTTTTCCAATTATGCAATATTGTATTCCTGCTTTAAATTCTGGCCACAATCCAGTTCTAATACCTTTTCATGAAATTACAGTATTACATAATAATAATAATAATAATAATAATAATAATAATAATAATAATAATAATAATCTCATAAAAGGAACGATTAACTGAAGTATATTTAATTCTTATATGAAATGCTTCACAAAAAATCCCTCCTCTTTACTGCTTCTGACATTGATAATGAAATTCTAATTATAATAAACAATGTGAAAAGAGCACTAGAATTATCAACGATTCGTTCTTGTCCTTCTAAAATACAGTCTTTTACTAGTTTTGCCTAAAAAACATTAAATTTAATAACTCTCAAACACCGTACTCTTCGCAAATGGCAAGTTACACGTGTTCCCACAATGAAGAAATCACTAAATTTACTGACCCATACCGTTCAAAAAAAGTTACAAGAACATCGATATACTAACTTTAATAACTATTTATCCCAAATCTAACCGAATTCTCCATCACTGTGGTCTGCTATTCAAATTATAACAAAAGACAAACATCAAAAACCACTTTAAGATATTCAAATAAAACTGCCGTTTCAGATTTTGAAAAAGAGGAACTTTTTGCATAGCAATTTTATAGGACTTTTACTAATAAATCCGATTAACAATTATTCATTTCATCAAAACAATTGAAAAATCTTCAAAATTATATTTACACGGTTCCGGAGCATATCAAATTTGTATATACAGCAGAAATTAAATTTATTATAACAAAACTCAAAAATAATAAATCACCAGGTTTTGATAGACTTCCTAATATAGTATTTAAACATTTCCGTAATCCCACCATTATTTCGTTAGCAGGAATATATATGCTTGTCGTAGACTGAATTACTATCCCTCAATTTCGAAAATAGAAATCATAATATCCATTCCTAAACCACAAAAATATCATGGTAGACCAAAAAATTATTGTCTAATTAGCTTATTATCCACATTTCAAAAATGTTAGTGAAAACAATTTTAAAAGTCATTAAATTTATTAACCATACTAATTTACTTCCCAATTCTAAATTTGTATTTAGATCCAATCATTCCACAACGCATTATTTTGAAGAATCACAGATTTTATTGTGAAAAGTTTTCAAAAGAAACTATATGAATTTGCACTTTTTTTAGATGTTAAAAAAGCATTTGACAAAGCAGGGCATGAACTTTTACTTTACAAACTTAGAATATTTGGTTTTCCTACATATTTACAAAAAACTATTACAGCGTAAATTTCAAGTACAATTTAACAATATTTTTCTACTGAATTCACGCTGGAGTACCTCAGGGTTCTCCACTATCACCTATCTTTTTTAAAATGTACATTGCTCACATTCCACATGTAATTAATTCACAAATAGCCTTCTTTGTAGAAGTTACTTTTTGAGTCTCTCCTCATATTGATTTGATGTTAATATAATATCCATACCCTTGAAAGACAATTTTTTGTCGAACAAGGATCAATAAATATATATTTTTAAAAAGGGTTTTTCGCATTACGTATGAACACTGAGGGTGTTTTCTTCTATTCAATTTCAATTTTTGTTCCTTTAGTTCTATACTATCGTCCGGGATGATAATACAACATTTCTATTACCTATTCACTAGCACTTCTTCACCCTTACTGGTTTGTCTGTCACTGCGATCTATTCTAGAGTTCTTTGGGCCAGTGTGCTCTCCCGTTTTTACCCGTTGTTAGTGTCGCACTGCTAATTTCCGAATTTCCTGCCCGAAAGACTTGCTAATTTCCAATAATTCATTACGGTTGTTTGGAGTTCGATTGTGTGGTTGTTGAAAAGGTGCGTGTAGACATTGTTGCTGTTGAAAACTACCCTGCTAGAGCTGTTGTAGTTGTATGCTGTCGAGTTGATCTGAAACATCAAAAAATGGCTTTTGTTGAGCCGGCATTTTACTACTGTGTACAATTTCCATTGCGTTTTGCAAGCATTCCCAAGCAGGGGATTACTCAAGGGCTAACATTTTAGTTTCACAGGTAGCTAAAAACATTGGTCACTGTAGGTCACAATTAGTACTGAGTAGGCACTTACACAGGTTGGGCTAAACTGGAGTGCGACGATTCTTACAGGTCGAGTGCCCATTGCTGACTAGTCAGATAAAAGGTTTCGTTAAAAACTCTAACAAATATATTTAAGAAATAATGTATTTAACTCATATCATTAAGTTCCCACAAAAAAATTGATTACAGAAACATTGAAGTTTTCGGAGAGCCAATGGTCAATGTATAATTTTATGGAGAGAATTATAGTTCAAGTTAATGAATCCTGACTCTCAAATTACGCCGTAACGATTCAATAAAAAATCACTGAAAAAATATATTCCTTCCCCGCTTCCTCTCTAAGAGGCGTGTGCGTTAATAAATCAGCGCACGCGGTCGGTGGCCTGCTATCTCTCGTGAACAATCTGCCTGCATCGTGGAGGAATTTTCGTTCTTGCACGTGAGTGCGGCGCAGAAACGTCAGTGGAACGGCACTTGACGAGGCGGAGGATGAGCCGGGCCGGGGGAGCGTCTTCCGGTAGTTCAATTGGCCATTACGAAGCATGCGTGGCGTGCCAACTCCTCCGGGCGCGTGCGCCGCGGCGTGCCGCGACGGCGCTTTCCGCCAGGCTCCGCCTCCGCCGACGACTCCGCCCTGCGCTGTCATTGCCCGCCCCGCCCGCCACCGCCACGCACGCCACGCACGCACGCGCCGCGCCGCCCGCGCCGCTCCGCCAAGCGCCGTCCATCAAAACTGCCATCCCGCCCCACTCCGCTCCTTGCTGCCCCGCGCGCCACTTGCTTTCACCCCCCCGCCACCACCGATCGCCGCCACCGCCCCGCCCCGCGCCGCCTCACGCCAGCTCCGCACCGCACCGCACTGCACCTCGCCGCCAGATCCGCCTACCGACTATCCGGCCCGACTCCGCCCTGCGTTGTCCCACCCCGTTCCGCTCCGCCAAGCGTCCCGCATCACCCGCTCGACATTACTCCGCCTGACCTTTCCCCTCCCCGCACTGCTCCGCACCACCGGGCGACCGCGTGATCTCGCACCCAATCCATAAGGAAGTGGAGTCCTCACGGTATTGTATTCGTAATGCCTCCGGTTCACTTTTTTAGTACGCATACTATATAACTACTGTTATTCACTCTGAATGAAAAATGTTTGAAAATACCAATTGACGATGTGATTTATAATACCTTCATCTTCTCCGTAGCTGTATTCTGCGATGATTCACAGATTTGGAGTTTTTGTACAATTTTAGCTACAGTAAAACCCCGGTAATCCGAACTATTTGGGGGTGTGGTCTGTTCGGGTGCAGAAATATTCGGATTACCCGAAAAAGGGTACCGTACATAAACAAATACATCTACACGATTACTAGACAATACAACGTAGCGTGCGATGTGATGCGATGGCAACGTAGCGTAGTGATCGCATCATCAAGCAGATTCAGTTCCTTAAATCCATACGTCCATTCCATTAAATCCATACGGCAAAAGACGATTACCGACTTTGCAAATTCCTCTAAGTGAAAATTACTGCTACATGGTACATGCCGTAGTTGCCAGTGCAATAAACATTTCATTTCGACAACTTGTATTTCGATAATAAATTCAGTTCTCCAGAAATTATAAAATCCTTTCTTTACACTACAAATAAGCATTTTATTTATTTATTTTACTTTTCCTCCTTCCCAAATTTTGTTCGGATTATCCGAAATTTCGGATTTGCGGGGTTCGCATTAGCGAGGTTCTTATGTATTTCCAATACCAAAGAAAAGTTTTTTTTCAACTCATCCGAATGAAGTTCTTGAATAATATCGAATGACACATTCAGTTTTGTGTAAAAATACACAATCTGCAGTTAAATTACTTCATACTTTGTGATACTGACCAAAAGGAACTAATTGTGTACATTACATTTCCTTTCGCCCATTTTAATATGTGGTCGGAACAAACAATATTTCAATTTTGAAATGATTGGTAACAAATTATTCCACTTTAATAAACTTGGAACTTACGTTTTTATAACAAAACAAATACTCCTACAGAACCTACCAGTTGCACATTTTATTAAAGGGATTGCATGAAAACATTTATTCTATTGACGATAAAAAAATGTGTCAATATGCAAGACGTGAAATTGCTGATAGAGTTATGCTCTTAATGTAACGAAGTAAGAGATCAGTGTTGCCGAGATGATTGCGTATATTTACTAGCTATGCGGAAACGGTATGCTCTCTTAAAAACGAAACAGAATAAGTTCTCTATGCCGATACGGATATTCTTTGCAATAATGTAACAGTTAGCAGATAGAAAAACAGATGTTTCAAATTGGTTTTGTAATAACAAATTTATGGTAAACACCGAGTAAATTTTCCAATGCAGTTTTCAATTTCAAAAAGTCAATTGCATGTCCCATTGAAAATAAACGATTGATGCAATAAACGATGCAAAAACACGTTTTTGGGAATCTCTTTGAATCATCAGGCCGGATCCTAAAACAAATTATCAGTTCCCCATCATGAGACCACGACACTTTGTATGACACCTCATACGTCTCGATTGTTGTAGGGAAAGTGGCCTAGCCGTGAGTGACGGAACCGCACATCCGAACATTCGCAAACACGCGCACTCGGAGTTCTACTCAAATACTCTACAGGGATACATATTACTAAATATCCCTATACAAATATATGGTACCTCAGCTTGTGGGTCAATAAACCAATCTCGATTAGATTTTTCATCCATTACAATCCACTAAGCAAATGCTGAAATGGTGTCTTGTTTTGCTTCTGGATATAAATGTAGTTTGATTATCCAGGTACACTTGTTTCAGGCAGTAGGAAATATTTATCGAAGTAATGGTTCTCCGCGTTTTCACGGCAGAAAGGTGATTTCTTCACGTTGGGCTCGTATCCTAAATCAGTAAATAGCATTTGCAGATAATTTTTATTACACGTGAGCGAGTGTTTTCTTAGGGATTCTTGTAAAAAACGCGCTTCCTTTCTGTACTCATCACACGCCTTTCTGCCGTGAAAACGCGGAGAACCATTATTTCGATAAATATTTCCTACTTAATATACAATAGCAAGGCTCGAGATTCCAGACTTCAAGAAAACGTGCACAGATTGCGCCCATAGTACGTCACACAGTTTTAACTGTTTTTTACATTCTCGCTACGGAGTAGAGAGCAAGTTGTGAAATGCAGCGCGAAAAAACGGAGAATTTTTTCAGAAAATCTTCTCTTACCCTGGTACAAAACAAGGGATTAAATACCGTTGCTAAATTTAGAAAAAAACCTCTAACACGTGGTGTAGCCCAGATATATGTTTTGTGGGACCTTGATAACGAAAAATTGATTGACGGCAAAACTCCGTCCGTCTGATCGTCCGGCCGTCTTTCCGTGCGAACGATGCGTCCGTCCGTGCGTCCGTCCGTGCGTCCGTCCGTGCGTCCGTCCGTGAGTCCGTCCGGGAGTCCGTCCGTCTGTCCGTGCTTCCGTCCGTGCGACCGTCCGTCTGTCTGTCTTTTTGTCTATCTGTCCGTCTGTGAACAAGGCTAGCGGCTAAACCGTTCTGCCTATTTTCTCCAAAATTAATATTTCCCAATTGAACTTGCTGATGTTGAATGGGTCTGGCTGGTCTGGTTGAATGGGTCTGGCTATTGTTGCCCATGAATTTGAAACCAATATTATATTTTTGGGGGATACTGTAGATGAAGTTTCTAGGACATTTTCCAAATTTCCAAAAAAATAGCTCCGTCGTTTTGATTACATTTTTTTGTTTGTTGAATAGTGTGAGGGGCGTTTAAGAGAATGATGCAGGTCTCATGTTCGTTAAAAACCCTGTTGTTTGTTGTTTTTGAAAATTTAAAAGTTCAACATTTTTTTGGTGTCTTCCTACGCTACAATTATAAAGATAGATATTTTTCCTCAATGAAATATGTTCCTTAGATATTTTACCTTAGAAAAGTTTGAAAAAAGGTGATGAACAATTTTTCGAAATTTGTAATTTTGCGTGAAAGGGCGAGAAAGTACGTACGTACGTACTAGTAGGACCACTAGTTTTTACGTTTATATATAGTTTATATAAACGTATATAGTTTATATAAACGTATATAGTTTATATAAACTATAACTAACTTCATGAACAAGCGGCGTTACTTTGCCGTTTTGTGAACAAGCAGTGTAGCCATTTTTTAACAATGTTCCAGTGAATAAGATTGGTGTGATTATGGGTAGAGTACATTTTCACTATTCGAACTCACAAATATAAGGATGCAAACAGGATTTTCCTTTTGGGGTGTTCTGTCCGTCCACCATCATGTTTCTTTATCGACTAAATCATTTTGAATTTAAAGATAATTTTTTTTATTTGCTAATGTATAGTTATTTTTACATATACAAGTGAGATGTTTATGGACTACATACTTTCTCGTCATGCTACATACTTAAAGAGAAAATATTGTAATGCTGGGGCAAATATATGCGATTTTGCGACAGACAAACGAGACTCCAGTCCCTGCAAATTTGAAACGTATATTTATGTTGGGGTGGGGGTATTACACTGAGGGTATATGGGTCGGGGTGAAGCCTAAGAACATTTTCAAAATTTTCTCAAGAATGCTTAGAAAATACGAGTAGTTTCCAGTACTTTTGCGTGAAATACAGACAATTTTTAAACAATTTTTTTTCAAAATGTGGTCCAAATATTTTCTTTATTTTTCTCGGATACAGCAAAGGAAATCTCTGTATTTTTGATAATTGCAAACGTTAGAAATAATGCGAGAAATTATGTGCTGTTGTAATACCACTAATTGTATTAGTGAAAACATACTGACCCTATCTTAGGTTAAGTTATTGTTTATATCAAGGTGCTTAAAAGTTGTAAAGAAAAGAAATAAGTTATTCACTTAAAACGTTTGTACTAATAGATTTGTTAAAACGCTTAATAGTTTATTTTTCAGAGTAGTTTTACAGAATTAAATTTTGATTTAAATTTTATAGTGAGCCAACATAAAATTCAAAGAAGATTGTTGCATATATTATTAATGGTTTATTTACCTCTAACTAAATAGTTAAATATGTTCATTTTTCGTTAGTACCAACTGTAAAGGTTATTTGAGTCTTCGATTAGTGGGGGAGGGTGAGCCCCCTCTCGCACGTTGGTGCAGTCCAACAAAGATATAATTCATTACAAACCGAAGAGGCTGCATCATACGGTATTGTTGGGAGAAGCGGTGGTCGGCGAAGCCCACGGAAACCCCTCACATGAGGTATCTACTCCACTTTCTGAGGGAATGCATTATATCTCTAGTTTGTTTTGTTAAATTGATCTCTTTTTGTGTTTGTCATCTTTTGTTAATCAAATGCCACCTTTGGCCACCAAATGCCTAGTTGATTCCTTTGGCAAATCTCAACATTGCGTTTTCTCAATATTTTCACACATATATCACACATGAAAAATGTGAATAATATAGTGTATATAATAATATAGTAAATGTGAATAAGCAATTAGCGAAGCGAGAAAGCTCTTTTCCAGAGACATCCAGTTATGTCAAGTGGTGTCAGGTCGTCTCGCTATTTTCTACAGATATATATTTCACTGGATCTTCGCTGAGAAACAAAGGAGTGTCGCATTGACACTAGATACGAAGAAGGCG